CACTACCATGCTACTGATGGCACACGACTACTACAGAAACGACTGCGTATGGTGGTGGAGAGAGCAGCGAGTGATGTACATCATTCAGGCGAAGAGCAACTTCAATCCGTGGCATCGCTGGTAGGGGTATGATTCGATCCTAAAAGTGACACTGCTTTATTGAGAACTCTGTACGACCAAGGATGTCAAGACAGCTCACTAGAACGCAGAACGTCCAAATAAAACAACATCCTTATAAGAACGCTTGCTGGCACGGTCAATGTATCTCTGGTTTCTTCTGTCATTACCGTATTTCGCTGAATAAGCTAAACAACCAAAATTAACTCCGTAAAACATGAAAATATCAGATAACAGCAACAATCGAGACTGACCTTCTTCGTAATTAACGGGAATCACCACTTCCTAATCTTAATGCCTAAGTTTGACTGTCTGGCAAAATTTGCCGCCATAAAACATATCGCTATTTAAGTTCGTCCCATTTGATATGAGGATTTCCAACTGGACGCTTGCAGCCCCTTGGGTACCAAATTCGTCACTGGTGAAGTCCGTCAGACATCCTTCATTCCAGCGCGTCTTACTTCTTAACTCCGCAACTTGTTTCTGATGGAAATTTCTGGCATCCTTTCTTCTATCGTGCAGACGCATAATACTCAACAATAAAACAGCCTCCTTTTTCTAATTTTCCTATATACGAATTGACAAGGTTCATATTATCAGTATATGACTCAGGTTGTAGACTCTTTGGGATCTCGTGTATTATTCGCCCTTTTCACTATAATATCCATTTTTGACTTTTAGTATAGTTTATTTATGCAGATTTAAATTTCCGTACGTATGTCAATTTTTAATGCACTGTTTATCATTAATTTTATTTCATAATTATTTATATTCAGAACGCGTTTTACTGAACTGGTTCGAATTTCCAGTGAAGAAGCAAGCGCAACTTTATCTCCATTAAAATCGTGAAGTTGTTCAGTCTCAGGGACGTGCAGGAACCATGGAGGAAATTAAGTCAGAAGAAACTGACGTGTCAAAATAAGAACTGCCAGTTGGATCTTGGCTAGGACAAAGTCGACTGCCCCTCAAAATGACTGACTACTTCATATGACACTGGT